AGATTTAGTTGAATTTCTCGAATTTTCCGCCACAATTCCAGTAGCTTTACTTCTTAGAGCGCACTTTTAAAAATAAGAAAATTTGTATTTCGACATACCTCGGCATTTCAAGAGCTGGTTTCTATGAAAACACCGATAGCATTTGTATTTTAGCTTCATAATATTCAAGCGAAAGTGGAGGAATAATTGCACAACTGTCGTCACACATGAGGCGTCCTTTTTGAAAAGAAGAATATTCTGCGTCACTGACAACGAAACGTAGAGTGCCGCATCCATTCGAATCAAGGACTGCCCGGCACAGAAATGGAAAACTTATGCGTCAAATGCTTTTGCCTCTTAGCTTTATTTAGCCTCATACACAATGCTTTGAATTTCTGAAAAATTTGGCAGGGCTGTGCGGCCTGCTTCCCAACGCACTTACCCTGTATTACTTACCCTGCGATTTTTCTGACCCATTTATGGCCTTACCCTTAAATTAATACCCTGTTTTCGACCCGCCGTAGTTCCCTAGTACAGAATGATGTTAAAGGTATGGTGAATGGTTTTGGTTGCTGGTCTTATCGATAATGATGAAAAACGTAACTTCTTCTAAAAAACATAGCTAATTCAAGACTAGAGTGCAAAAACCATACCTAGTTTGAGACCAAAATGACCAAAATCGATACTCTACTTCTGAATAAAATGGCTTTAAAAAAATTGTCCTTCAGACGCTGGTCATACCTATATAGCCAATATAAGGGAGCACCCCGCCTCCCCTAGAGCAGAGTCAAAGTGAAGTTCACAAATAAATACATTTCGAAGTGCGTTGACTGTAATAACTGATACATGTGTTGACAACTTAAATTAATTAGCCTTTGCTCTTTTACAATAGGTCAAGTACTAAACCTCACCTGGACGAAAAACCCTACGCTGTGGTAACTGGGCAGATCAGTGCGGTGCAAAGCGGCGCATTAGCACATATCCCCCTCACCCCAGGTCTTCTCATGCACAAGATATCAAAACCCCAGCCTTTCTCAGCCTTTGAATATCTTTCCGGAAACGAAACACTATTTTCTTCTGAGAAATAGCTTCTTGTTGGAGCTTTAGTCAGGCACTCGCTCAGATAAGCCGGTGGCGACCGAGAGTTCGTTCAGCTTGGCTGTTTATTTAGTCACAATCTTCCTCTGCTCTTCTATTTGTAAATTAAAATGCTCCAGCTTTTACGCTAACTGAAGGCACACCCGGGATTCTAACCCAGAGAAAACTAGGTGGCTCAAAACCCGGCGAAGCACGCGGTCGTGGACGCC